TACTTTATAATATTAAAGGTAGTTATATTATAATATATATATATATATACCTAATTACTCTACCTAGGCATATATACTATACCTAATTCCTCTACCTAGGTATAATAAAGGCTAGCTTAAATAACGTTTTTTAAGAGCTTATTTTATTTTACCTAGGTAAAGGAACTTATATACTATTATTATACCTTAACTAGCTATTAACTTAAAGCCTATATATAGCTTTATTTTAATAAAGCTATAGAAAAATACGCTTATTACTAAGATATATAGCTCTATTTAGGTAATTCTCTATAATTAAAGAGGCTAATTAATTAATATTTATATCTTTTAGTAATAAATTTAAGACTAAAAGCCTAGCCTAGATATTATTATTAAAGGCTACTATAAGTATATTATAACCCTTTATTTTTCTTATATATTAATCTTTAAGGTATTAGAGAAATTAAATATATTACTTATTAAGTACTAATAGCCTAAAGTTAATTACTATATATTATAATATAAGATTAAGGAATAAGGCCTCCTAGATAGTAGGCGTAAGTAGTTACTTAAGTAAATTTAATATTATTTTTATATATATAAGTATAGTAATAAATCTATTATTTAAGATCTCTTTACTTATAATTAATTTAATATTTCTAAGAAGGCTATAAAGCGCCTATAGCTTAATATTAGACTAAAGTAATAGTATTAAGATCTTAATAAGTAAAAAGATACCCTTAATTATATAATTAAATTTATTTATAAAGACCTTTAAGAGACCCCTTTAGTACTAAACTTTAGATAAGGTTATCTATATAACTATATATATATAAAGAGGTAGATTCTAGTATTAAAAAATTAACTATATAACCTTTATTAAGAGGCCTTTTTAGAGGAAGTTAAACACTACTAGGTTAGAAATACTTACTATTACTATAATTTCTTAATACTAGGACTAAACTTCCTATAGTACCTTAATAGTTATAAGAAATTATCTTAGTTTAGATACTAGATATATACCTATATTAATATATACTCTTAAGTAATTATCTAGTTCTTTATTAGCTAATTAATAACTATAATATTCTTAATACTTAAGTAATATTTTAATTATATTAAGTATCTTAGAATATAGTTATATTTTATAAGGTTAGATTATAGGTAGGAAATGCTTTTTTAAGTAGTAGTATAAGTAACTTTTACTAAGTTAGTATTAGTAGAGCTCTAATATATAAATAAAAATAGGAATTCCTATTAATATTATTAAGGAGACTATATTAAATTATATTATATATATAATAAAAGTATATTAAATATTTATATTAAGTTATAGTAATTATAACTCTAAAATAAAGCTTTTAACTAATAAATTTAATTCTTCTATAAGCTCCTTAATATAGTCTTCTTTATTAAAAATAATCTTATTAATTAGATTATATTATATATAATATATACCTTAATTCTCTAAAATAAGTTTAGTACCTTTATTAATATATAGAATTCTTATTAAATTTAATACTAAAAGAATTACCTAGAGCTAGTTATTAATAGCCTAATTAATATCTACTATAAAAATAATATATAGAATTAGGGTATATTTATTAAAGGTATAGTAAGTAATACCCTTAATAATATACTCTTATTACTTAAGAATATTAAGATTAAGGGCTTCTTAATACCTTATACCTAGTAGTAATATAATAATACCCTTAAGGAGCTTAGCTACTTAAGATTATTAGATCTTAATAAGTTATATATATAGCCCTTTATAAGGAGTTATCTAGCTCTTTAAGAATAAATTTAATAATATATTATAAATTATATAAAGCCTACCCTTAGTATTTAACCTATACTAATAAAGGGATTAGAATAATATATATTAATTATCTTATTAATCTATATTTAAGAATACTAATCTAATAATAAAATAATATAAGGTTTTATAATATAATAATAGATTTTTTAAGTTTAATACTATACTCTTTAGTAACTAGCTATTAGATAAATTCTTTAATTAAATAGATCTTTAAGAGGCTATTAATATAGCCTAATTAATTTCTTATATAATATTACTTCTTAATATACCTAGTCTATAAGGTAGGGTAATCTTCTAGTTATAATTAAGCTTATACTTAAGTTTATAATAATATTAGTAATAGTAATAGTAATAGTGCTAGCGTTAGTGCTAGCGCTAGTAATATAAAGAGCCCTATCTCTAATACTAGCTAGAGTTCCTTAATTAGCGGCGGTGATAGTAATAATAAAGACGCCTAAGTTAGTATTAATATAATAGAATAGCTTCTACTATCTTTATTATTATTATTATCTTCTAGACTAAAGAGATATAAAGGTTATAATATTAACTTAAAATTCTTTATTATAATTATTAAAGGCTTAGTCTTAACCTTTAATAATAACTTTTATTTTATATATTAGATTATCTTTTTTTTTTAAAGTTAATATAAATAATAACCTTTTTATCTTAAATATACTAGCTAATATTATTCTTACTTAAGTTTTTTTTATATATAAAGAGGTTAAAAAAGGTATATTTTTTATTATATAGCTTTTATAAAAGCTTTATAATTCTAGTTACTTTTATCTAAGTTAAGCTAATTTTTTAATTATATTATTAATATTCTTTATAACTTAGGAGAATATAATCTTTTACTTATTAAGATAAGGTTATTATATATTCTTTAAATATATATTTATATTACTAAAAGTAAGTAAGTTTAATATTATTTAGCCTATTAGTTTAATACTAAATATTATAATAAATAATATACCTAGTTAAACCTTCTTTTAGATTAAAGGGATATTATTATTATATTTAATAACTAAAAGAAATATATTTACTTAAATTTAAATACTATATTTAGATACTTATAAGTTAACTAGTAAAAGAATATAATACTTTTATATAACCTTTTATATATACTTTAAAAATAATAAGAAATTATTAAGCTTATTATAAACTCTTAAGTAAGAAGGTATACCTACTATTTACTAGGATAATAATAATAAGGTATTATATAATAAGTTATTAGTTAATAGCCTTCTTTTAGAATTATCTCTCTTTTTATTAATAGAGATTAGTATTAGTTACTTTTAGTTATATTATAGGTAGAATTTAGACCTTAGGAACTTAGAAAAGATAATATTATAGTTTATCCTTATCTCTTTATAAACTCTAGTACTCTAATTACTAGCTATAATAAAAGAATAACTATATTTTAGTATTAAAAAGAGGCTATTATTAAAAATTATTATTAAAATACTAGATTAGTTATATAATAAGGTAGGTAATAAACTTTAAAAAATATATATACTTTATACTAGAAAAATATAAATTAAAAGGCTTCTTAAGATAAGAAAAATAATATATTAATATAATTTATAAATTCTCTTTTAATTAATTATAATATTATCTTATCTTAATATATATTTTATTTATAATAACTCCCTAAAGATTAAGCTTTTTATAGTATTATATAAAAAGTAAGGTTATTACTATAACTTTATCTTTAGTAAGATATATATTTACTTATAAATAACTTTATTAATTATATATTAAATTAAATATAACTTATATTAAATAGTAAATTAGTTAATTCCTTCTTTATTAATATATATAAATAAATAATAACTATTATATAAGGTAAAGCTTAGTTACTATAAATATCTTAATTTTAATAAAGTAATAACTTCTAGCCTAAAGTACTATCTACCTAAATAGCTCTTAACACTTATTATAACTATAAGTTAAGCTATATATTAATAAAAAATATATTATAAGAATCTTTATAGAATATGCTTTTTTTTAGTACTAGGCTTATAGTTATTTAAGCTATAGAATATATGGTATTTGTCTTAAGGCACAGTAATATAGTTTTAGCGGCGGGGTATAATAACCTGAAAGTGCTTTAGCACGAAAAAGCAACAATATAAAAATCGGTCCTAATGGTGCACCGTAATAAGCGACCGTTTGCAGAAACTAATAACCACACAACACCGAATTGTCCACAACTTGCCCATTTTTGCAGCGAGATTTGGCTCCGCGAAAAGAGTCGCTCCGACGAGAGCAAGTCGTTGAACGAGCGTTGAGAAAGAAAAAAAAAATAAGGAAGAATTTTGTTTCGCTTTACAAGTGGAGGAGCCGCCCACCGCCGCCGCCGCCACCGAACCAAGAAGCCGACAATTCAGCTTTGCTACCTTTATTCACTCTCTTCACTCGCGGCTCAGAACTGATTTCTTGGTGGGACAAAAAACATAGGCCTCGACTGGGCCGACCAGCCGCCTCATTCCCCCTCCCCCCCAGCCACTCGAACCTGCGCCACCAGTGACCAAGGCTTTTCTTCTTGACAGCTGACAAGCAAAACCGGGACAAGGATTGTTTGGCGACGTTTGTGCCAATCCTTGTTTTTACTGATGATATCGGTCATCGGGTCTTTGCCAAGCGACATATATATCATATATCCGCATATTTGCTCTCGTCATGTCTGTGATGGCGGCCAAGAATGGGCGTGATGTCGCCGGCATATTACCAGGTAAGGATCTTTAGCAATCTGATTCACATTTAACCTGCCTGCCTGTCTTGGGCCTACCTATGGGCTACATTTCAACACGACCCCGACTCTCCAACCTCCTCTTTGACGTCGTTTCCCCCCCCCCCCTCCCTTCCCCTCTTCACACGGTCACACACCTGGGCCCCCCATCCGTCTCGGTAACTCCTACCTGGGCCGTCCGTCTCGGTCTTCACCTGGGCCGTCCGTCTCGGTCTTCACCTGAGCCGTCCGTCTCGGTCAGCACTCGAGCGGACTGGATGGGGAAAACGTGCCGACGAGAAAGGCCAGAGGCAATGGCATGCTGCAGAGAAGAACTAGTGTGATGCAGGCGCACCACCCCTCCCTCCCCGCAAGAAAGAGGAGAGATGGATGATGATCCAGAACTAGATCGGCCGCTGCGGCCCTTGTAGTTCTAGGCGTTGTTTTTTACCTTTAGCGGCGTTGGACATGGGCGTGGTGGTGGTGGCAGGCGAGTGCCTGATTCCCATTTGCGGCTGGGCTTACTTTGACGCTCTACACTAAAAGAAAAAAAAAAAACGGCGCAGAGTCGGTCAACACTGTGCATCTCGATTGTCCAAGGGAACCTTTTTTTTTGTGCACTCTTTGGCGGCACTCATTTGTGTGCTTTTCTTTTGTTTGTTTTCTGCTGCCTACATCTGCGTTGCATCGGCTGTTACCTTGGCCCCAAAAGCTTGAGCCATCATCGACTGCAAGCTGCATGCCTGTCTGTCCACCCCCGCCCACCGGCACAAGACCAAGAACAGCACCACTTCAACAAGCCACGCACACGGACTCTTTCAAGACCAAGTCCCCCGCGTCTTTTTTGCGTTGCGCATTTTCATTTCTCTCGTCATAATACAGCCTTGTGACCCCATTTCTGACCCTATTTTTTTCTTCACACCATCATTTGCCCGGTCTTGTTGTTTTCCTTTTTGTCGTCTCGGCCCATCGACCTCCTACCCACCCCCGCGCTGGTAGGTTTCTTCCGTCTGCGTCGCTCCACTCTCCGTCTGTCACGGCCAGACTTGACAGCTCACGATACCTCGAGTGTCACCTTATCCTTTCCCCTCACCATTCTTGTTGTCCCCTTTCAATTCACAATTATTATATACAATATTACAAACCCACTGGTCGCCTGATTCTATCCCCAGCTTGGGTTTTATCCTTCACCTTACCCCTCCCATTGAACTTACTCCCATCGCCATCTCACCCCGCCATCGGCGCCTCCGATGGTCATGCCTTAGCTCACACGAGTCAAGAGTCAAGGGTGGCAAAACTCTACAACCATTCTCTGCAACGAAAATCTGGACGCTTGCTTCCGAAAACACTTGGTTCTCTTCATGTACTGTCCCTCTTGTTACAGTCAACCCACCTTCATTTACCCATTGCGCTCCTCATCATTTACATACTTCTATTCATCAATCGCCGCTCCATGCTTCATCATTCTCATTGGTCAAGCCAGCTGACAGTTTTCCTCCTTCGCAGTCGCCGCGGCCGACTTTCCGTCGTCGCCAAAGCCAATTGCTGATCCTATCCTCTCCTCCACAACGTCAGCCGCTGCCCACGAGGACACCATGATCTTTTCAGATTTCTACAAGGGCTCGCGCTCGCCCCTCGCTAGGCTGCGCAACGGCAACCCGCAACTGCCCGCCAAACTCGCCACAAACTCGCCCGATTGGGTCGGCGACGAGTACGCCGACCTGCTCAGCAAGGACAAGGCCAAGAATAAGGAGGCTGTTCGTCGTTATCTTGCTGACAAGGTGCGCGACGATTGGGGCTTTGACTGGCCCACCCAGCAGGTCACCGAGTCGTCTGTGAAACCCTCCCAACAAGAAGAGGACCAATCTGCCGGTCTCGAGACGGCCAAAGCAGACGACACGGCGGCAGAGACAACAGCCGATTCCAGTGCTACCGATGATGGCTATCAAGTCGAGGACACCGAACTCGACTCTGACGACGAATCCGTGTATAGCGTCGTCTCTGCAGACAATCTCCACTGGCGGGCCCGCGCCGAGTGGACGTCCGATATCGACGAGGATGACGATAGCTCGTCTCTCGACGACTCACAGTCCTCACTGCAACTTGCTAACGCCCGTCGAGCGAGACGTCGCCGAGCCATCCGCGAAGAGACCTCCTGGAACCCGGGGCTTGCCTGCTTCGAGGCCCGGCGCAATGCCTGGACGGGCGCAAAGACGGTGCGCGTGCGCTCCAAGCCCGTCGCCACCACACCCGTCCAACCCATATCGCCGCGCTCTCCGCGCCGCTTCTTTTTCCGCCGCAGCATGTCCAGCTCGCCGCCGAGCGCCGCCGCAGCCTTGGCGGCCGCGCACGCTGCATCCGCCGACCTCTCCGGCACGGCCTCGGACTCGTCCTCTATCCCCCACGACGAGCTGCGCAAAGTCGACTCCCACGCCGACGGCAGCACGGCCAACACACCGGCCACCTCCACCGAGGAGACGCGCACCTACCCCGTCGAGACGCTGCTGCCGCTCGCGCAGCCCATTCTACCGCCCAGCAACCCGCTGCGCGCCTCCATCACGCCCAACGTCTACCTCGCCCTCTACGATAAAGTCATCCTGCACAACCTCCAGCCCTCGTGCCCCATCAACCTCGGCGACATGCTGCGCTCCTGCGTCACGGGCTGGAAGCGCGACGGCGAGTGGCCGCCGCGGTCTACGCCCTACAACCCGCCCCCCGCGGCCAAGAAGAAGAAGAGCAGCCCCAACAAGCCTAAAAAGCCGGCTGCGCCGACAGCAGCAGCAGCAGCAGCAGCAGCACAAGCCACGGAAGCCCCCGAGGCAAAGGCGAGCCGCAGATTGAGTTTTAATTTGCTGAATCGCGACGCGGACGAGTCTCGTGCAGGAAAGGGCTTTCGAAAGAGTCTGCAGCGGGCCCTCGGCATGGGTCCTCTTCCTGGTTTTGGCGAGACTGCGTAGATAAGGGGGCAAAAAAAAACAAACCATGCGGACAGAGAGGGCGCATGTGATGACGAGAATCATGGGAGTAAACACAGCGAGTGGACGGAGTGATGATGCCTTCATTATACCCCCCCTTTTTTTATACATTTTATTATTATTACTCATTATTGTTTGCGTAGGCTGTATGAAGCTTTTGATCGGGCATGGAAGGTTGGGGTCGCTTTCCAGGAGTTTTCTTTGGTTTTTCTTTTACACCTTGTCTCTGGCAGCTTTCTTTGACATTGTTCCATTGCGGGAAAATGGTTTTTTGAATGTCTGCCTACTTTTCTTTTATTTTTGCATATACCCATAGCCGAATGAAACCTGAATCTTCCTAATTCTTGTCAACTCTGTCTTCACTTTAATTACCTGCTGAAAACCTGCTTCTTCTGCTCTTTCGGACCGAGCCTCATTTCTACCTGTGGCAGGGTTACATCACTTCAACCCGTGATCGGGCAGTGGATACGTACCAGTAATAGCAGCTCACAGACCCCAACATGTCACATCATGTATCAAACTGAACAGCAAAAAAGAAAAAGGTCATCATTCTAGGTCTCGTTCGAGAAAACCAACAGGAGACGGAACAATCTAATCTGAAAACAACTTTTCACCCGGTCTATGCACGAGCTGCTCCATGGCCTTGACAAGATCCGCCAGCAGCCCCTTGCCATGCTCCTCCCAGCTCTTGAATGTCACCACCTCGAGCACCACGCTGTTGCCGCCGTCCCTCACGTACGTTTGGACCTTCCACTCCCGCAGCGGCTCCTCGTCCGTGTACAGCGTCTCGTACTTTGTCTGCGCCTCCTCGTCCGTGTTCTCGCGCTCCTTGACGTGCGACACGTCCTGATGGCACACCGTGTCGAACCACCACTGCGCGGGACGATCGTCGCCCGGCATGCTCGCCTGCTTCTCCCACCCGAGGCCGCAATTCTCTGCAATTTCACGCAAGCTAACGGCCTCGTGGCCCGCGCTCTCGACGTGCTGCTGCTGCACAAACGCGAGCAGGTCGTTGCCGGTCCACGACGGATCGAAGCGGACTCGGAGAGGCACGTACTGCCAGCAAGGCCCCGCGATGGACTCGGCGCCCGGGAGACCGACGTTGCGGCCGCTGACAACCTCGCCAAAGACAACGTCTCGCAGGGCGCGCCGGCGCGCGAGGCAAAGCGCCCAGGTGGCCGTCGGCAGCGACGCCAGGGTCACGTCGCGCGTACGCGCGGAAATGTCCACCGTTTGCGCAATGGCGGCGTGGCGACGGTCCGTGATGGGGATGTCGGGCCGGAACGAGGTGATGGTGGACCCGGCGAGCAACTCCCGCCAGTACGGCAGGCTGGCGGGGACGGCAGTGCGCATGACGTGCGAGACGTAGGCCGAGAAGGGCACCGACGGCTCGGGCGTCTTGTCGTGGGCGTAGAGCGCCGACAGCTGCCGCAGCATGATGGGCAGGCACATTTCGTCGTACTGCGCGTGCGACATGCGGAAGACGAGGCAGCTGCGAGCCGCGGGGCGCTGCGGGTCGGCGACGTACAGCCACTTGACGAAGCTGGAGCCCAGCGGCTGCGGCTTGTCGACGTCGGCGCGGCAAATGTCCTTGGTAAACGTGGACAGGTCGACGGCGGGGTTGGTGTAGGCGAATTCCTCAAACGGTGTCTCGAGTGCGTCGAGCACGGCGGCGTAGATGCGGTCCGCACTCTCGACGTACACGGTGCGCAGGATCTCATTATGCGCGACGAGCCGCTGACAGCTCTGCCGCAGACGACGTAGGTCGACGGGACCGTCAAAGAAGATGAGCTCGTAGCGCACGGCGAAGCGCGGCTTAGAGATGGTGGCTCGCACGGTGAGCTCCTGCAGGAATCGCGTGGGCAGAACGTTGGACACAGTCCAGGATGCGTCTTGTAGCTGTGGCTTGACGACGTTGGCGAGGAACGCGCTCTTATCGTCGACGAGGCCGTCGAGCAGCTCAAAGGGCTCGGCGATGGGGGCAATGGGCGCCTCAGCGGCGGCGGCGGCGGTCGAGTCCGACGACTCATCAGTGCACTCCATGACGGCGGCCATCTCGGCGAGCGTCTTGTGGCTAAACATTTGCGCGACAGTCAGGCGGATGCCCTCGGGGCGTGCCTCGGACGCGAGCTTCATGGCCGAGATGGAGTCACCCCCGAGCAGGAAGAAGCTGTCATCGAGACCAATCTCCGTCTCCGGAGTGCGCAGGACGTGGCTCCAAAGAGCGCGGAGGCGGCGCTGGCGCTGCGACGTGGCCGACACGCGGGGCTTGCGCGCCGCCGCGGAGGCATCGGTCGAGGCCGTCAGGGAGGCCTTGTCGCCAAGAACTTGGATCTTGCCCGCGGCGTCGTACCTGGCCAGCTTGCCAGTCAGGTACAGCGCATCGGTGGGCGCGGACGGGGGAAGAAGAGCCGCGAGCCATGAGGGAACGGGCAGCGTGGAGAGGTCCTTGGGCTGGGAGGTTTGTATAGCGAGCTCGCCGATGGCGCCGACGGGAACCATCTTGCTGGCGTCGTCAGATCGCACAATGTAGGCAGCCGAGGCACCGTCATACGTCTTGACCACCGGATCCTCCTGTGCTGTAGCCACAACGTCGCGGAGCGCCGCGGCGTCATCATCGGACAGCGCACGCACGTTGCCGAGTAGGGTGGTTGTGCTCTGGGCGAGCTGCTGCGCGACGCTTTTAAACTGCGCCAGCGCGCGCCGCATGGTGCTCTTGTCGACCATTTTCGAGTCGAAGCTCGCCATGACCTGGAAGCCCTTGGGATCCATCGAGCACACGAGCATCAGCGCAAACGTATTAAACTTGAGGGCCTCGCGGGCCGCTAGATGCGGGATGAGGTTGTTGGCCGGCAGCGTGGCATCGACCTCGGGTGCGGCGGTGTCGGCGCTGGGGTGCAGCACCAGACCCGCGCGCAGCTCGCACGCCTCGCGCGCGTCGGGGCTCAGTCGCCGGATGTGCTGCAGGCCAAAGTGCTCGTGCGGGATCTGGCCGACGGTCTGCTCCTGGATGGCCTGCAGGAACTCGCCAACCTGCGCCTCGGCGTCAACGGGTACGCGAAGCGGCACCGTCGTGATCATGGGTCCCTCAATCTCGTCGACGCCCACGACGGGCGCGTTACGGCCCGTGAGCGTCTCGCCAAACACGACATCGGTGCTGTTGATGTACTGCGAGGCGACAATGGCCCAGGCGGCGCGGATCAGCGTGGCAACGGTAGCGTTCTTGGGCAGCTGCTCCAGCGGGACGTATTCCTCGAGCAGCTCGTCCGCCGCGGTCTGGTACCCCTGGTGCGGGAGCAGCGGGAACTGCAGGCGGTGGGCGCCTTCCAGCTGAGCGCGCCAGTACTTCTCCGACTCGGCGGCGTCCTGGGACAGGAGGTATTTGATAAAGTCCTTAAACTCGGACGGCCGCGACAGCGGCTTGCCGGGGTGCTGGTAGGCCTGGTTGATGCGCTCGACGACCAGGGGCATGGACCAGCCATCGTAGAGAGCGTGGTGCATGGTCAGCACAAAGGAGACGGTGCCGGCGGCCTCGTCGGTGATGATGGCGTAGCGCCAGAGAGCGGTGCCGAGATCCATGGGCGTCTCGCGGTCCGAGGCCAGGTACGCGGCCACGTTGTTGCCCGTGGTGTATTCCAGCTTGCGGTTGACGACGACCTGCATGAGCCCGCGTCTGGGCACCTGCACGATTCGCGTACGCAGAATGGGGCTGCCACGCGACGCTTCGTCGTACGCAGCCATGAGCCTCTTGGCCGTCTCGAGATCTTTGAGTACCACGACTCGCTGCGCAATGTACGCCTCCTTGACCTTGCTGGACAGCGCCATGAGACCCTCCTGGAGCGGCGTGCAAGGGTACACGTCCTCGACCTGCTCCGGCTCGATGCCGCACAGCTCTGCGACATCCTTTCGTGCGGTCTGCTCGTCCCAGCCTTCTTGCAAGAGCGAGAATGGCTTGACTTGTTCCTGTGTTGCTGATGAAATGCTCGTAGACTTGTTCGCCATGGCGGAGAGGGTAGGGTTGTTGAAGATGTCGGCGACTGTCAGTCCCAGGCCCTGTTCGCGGGCGGCGGACACGAGTTTCATGGCTCGGAGCGAGTCGCCGCCGAGGCCGAAGAAGCTGCTGGCCTTGTAGACGGGGCTCGACGATGCCAGGACAAGTTGCCAGGCGTGAGCCAGCTTCTTTTCCGCGTCTGTCTCGGGCTCCTCCTGCGGGCCCTCGTCGGCGTGCGTCGCGCCCAGCTTGGATCGTGGAATCGAGATGCCAATCTCGCGAAGCTTCTTCCGGTCCGTCTTCATGGAGACCATGGTGGGCATCGACGCGAGGGTGATGAAGGCAGCGGGGATCATGTATTTTGGTACCTTGGCACCGAGCGTAGTATCGATCTTGTCGAGCGCCGCCGACAGCTCGGGCGAGGGATCAACAAAGAGGCTGCCGTCTTGGGAGCCGACAGAAGACTTTTCGGCGAGGAAAGCCACCAGGGTAGGAGATGCATTCTCTGGCTTGATGACCTCGGCGACGACCTTGACGCCCGTGGGCAGACAGGTCTGAATGTGATGCTCCACCTCGGTCAGCTCGACGCGCTGTCCGCGGATCTTGACCTGTTGATCCTTTCTGCCTACGAATTCAATGGATCCGGAAAGGTTGTCCTCGTACCTGACAAGATCGCCCGTCTTGTACAGTCTGCCGTGTCGGCCGGCATAACAACCATGGCCTGCCGTGAGCCACGTAGGATCCTCGATGAAGACCTCGGCCGTCTTGGCCGGCTCTCCGAGGTAGCCGATGCCGACAACAGGGCCTTCAATTAGTAGCTCACCGACTTCGCCAACCGGGACAAGGACGTTGTGGTCTTCCGGATCGACCAACCACATTACGCAGCCAACACCCTTGCCGATTCCTGTAGATAAACTCGTATTGTTGTTTACTGTGCAGCCGACTGTGCACTCTGAAGGACCGTAGCCAATAATTAAATGTGTAAACTGCCTCCAAGTTGCCGCGTCGCTTCCCGACACTACTTCGCCGCCGAGACCGAGCACGTCGAGCGAAGGGATAATATCAGAATCCAAGACTCTGGCCACCGAGGGCGTCATGTGCACCATGTTGGCCTTGCTGTCGCGGATGGAGCCGCTCAAATCATTCATGCGGCCCTGCTCGGACGGGACGCAGACCTGGCCGCCGCAGGCCAGCGTGCAGAGCATGCAGTCGATGCTGACGTCAAATGCGTACGAGGGAAAGTCAAAGACGCGCGACGTCGACTTGTAGCCGACGGCCTCTGCGCGGGGAATGGCGCCGCTGGTAAAATTTTCGTGTGATATCGACACGCCCTTGGGCTTGCCGGTGCTGCCCGAGGTGAAGATGACGTACATGAGGGAGGATGAGGGTACATCGGGCAGGGGATCGGAAGATTGCTGCAGAGGCGTGTCAAAGGTGGCCTGGGAGACGGCGACGACGGTCGCGCCTGGCGCAATCTTGGCTCCCAGCGAGCTCTGCAGAGCGGATGTGACGAGCAGCTTGGCGCCCGTCTGCTCGACAATGGTCTGGAGACGAGCCTCAGGCTGGCTGGGATCTGTAAGGGAAAAGGCGGCGCCGGCCTTCATGACTGCCAGCAGCGCGACCACGGTCCACTTTGACTTTTCAAAGCAGAGCGGTACCGTGACACCAATGTCGACGCCCAGCAATCGTAGATGCAGAGCGAGCTGGGTCGACAGATGCTCCAGCTCTGAATATGTCAAGGAGCCGTCCCACGACTGGACAGCCACATCTTGCGGTCTCTGGGCGGCCTGTTCTGATATGATGTCGTGTATGCATCGCTGGATGGTTTCTGGCACGACTGCGTTCCACTGCCAGAGCTGGTCGAGGTCGCGCTCTGAGAGCAGGCTGCGTTGTTGTTGTTGCTGCTGCTGCTGCTGCTGCTGCTGCTGCTGCTGCTGCTGGGATTCGTCGTCCCGGGATCCTGTTTCTTCGGCGGCGGTGGCATCGGCGTTGACGGCGTCGCCATTTGCTCGGCCGGGGCCGTGGAGACTCGGGTCAGCTGCGTCGGGTGCTGTCTTCTGCGCGCCGCTCCCGGCGGGAATGATGTCGACAGCGAGGGGCCCTCCGCCGCCATGGTCGTCGATGCTGAGCATTACGAAAAAGTGTGAATGGGAAGAATCCCACGGCGTCTGGGAAAAAAAATTGGTGGTGTGCCGTTTTATTGGCCGAAAGCTACGGGCAGCGTCGCGCGGGTAGCAGAGTTATCGGTTGGACAAGCCGTATAGGGTTGCGGTTGGGTGTCAATGACGTTGCAGTACGTGTACATGCATGCAGCTTAGATATATATGTATCTGAGGACTTTTTTTCCTTGTCCTTTGGGCTGCACGTCTCAGTTGTAAAGAGCTGGGAGGTGGGATGTGCCCATGAGATGTAGTTGGGCTGTCAAGGCAATAAAGGTAGCCAGCCTACTACAAGTACCGGCCAATGGAGCTCCATTGCGATGCATGTTCGGTATTACTTGCTGGATATCGAGCGGAACCCGTCGAAACTTGCCCGACAGTGGATAATCAGAGGTATTTTCTGCTAGTGTGTTGCGAAGCCAGCAAGTACTGCCGCCAATGGGCTTCTTTTGTACGAGAGTCCCTCTAAGGAGGAGGCGGCATTGGGGGGTCATGGTCAAACCGGAGACGATGTGGTAAATAGAGGAGCGAAGCAAAAGCGAAATACAAGCGTGACCGCAAGCTGCGTGTCCACTAGGGTCGCGCCTGATGGAGAAGCAGCGGGGTGAAGAAGGCGGGTTGACCAGAAGTCAGTTGTGAGAGAGAATGAAGAAGCAGCTTCAACTGTCGAAGCTTGGTGGGATGTGAGGGGTGTGGGCAGTCGGAAGCTGAGGGGGAAGGAAGGGAGAGGAGCAAGAGGAGCAAGAGGAGCAAGAGGAAGGAGCAAGAGGGGTACAAAGATGGAGCTTCAAGGATACAAGTCGAGGTACAAGACCGAAAGAGGCATGTACTTGCGGATCAGATAATAATAAAGGGGATCCATCCAGCCGGGTGCGCGCACAGTTCTCTTCTCCACCAGAACAGGCTATTTTATGAATGTAGTTAGGTAGTTGGGCCCGTCAACGAATGCAGGCCGCACATTTGCAAACCACATGTCAGAAGTACATGGACGGAACATGCCTGGGACCAGTCCAGGCCGGCATAAGTAGTCTTGTGTTCGCCGGGATAAGAGTGAGCCGCGCGCAACGCCATGTCGAAAAGAGACGTCCCCGGCTACTGTTGCTTCGTCGGAGCAGAGAGGTATGAAACGAGGCAAAATAGCAAACTTTTGCTGTCCATTATATTCCCGAGTCGAAATTATCAATAGACAAGAGATGGCGGGCTATGGCGTCAGCATCAGCATCGGCGCCTTGTTTGCAGCAACAAACTAGTTATTAGGTAACAAAACAACTGGACCTGTTGGCCCCGCTTCCACCACCGTGTCCAATCTTATCAATCTCGGTTAATTTGATTTCTTTTCTCTTTTTTTATTAACTCCTTTTTTTCTTCTTTACTTAAATTTTCTTTTCCTCCGAGCTGCTGTCCGAGCTGGAGCCTCAGGACAACACTCCACCAAGCCAGAGAGTCATGCCAGGATATACCCCCTCCCCTGCAAGGCGAAATCGCATCTTGGTCGTCGTGCCTTGCAGGAAACATGTTCTGGTGCAACAACGGGCTGCGCGTTATACCTGTAACCCGGCCATGTCCCGCAATCCGGCAGTCGAAAAGATTCGGCCCCCCCCCTTCAGTCATCTTTGAAATGCTCTTGGAGGGGTTGATGAGGGGCATTCTGCTATTGATGACGAGGGAGCCAACTTGGACCACGCACCCACTTGAAGTAGCGTGGAATTCCTCACAAGCCATGGCGCTGCCGAGACGATCCCTCGACGCCATTTTTGTGCCAAGTTGTCGATGAGGTATTTTCCATATTTTTTTTCTTTACTTTTTTTTTATAAACTTGGTTTCATCTTCATGTATACTTAGGGCGGTCCGAAGACCGGCCATAACATGCCGTAATACGTGGTACTGCAGCCACCAGCACGTTTATTTTTTGTGCTTACCGTTACGAACGGGGCCGCGTTACACAGGCGACCCCCCACACCCCCCCCCCCCCCCATCCTGTCCACATACTGCGCTAGCCCATCTTATCTGATGATCTGATTAGATGGTACTTGCAAAAAAAGCTGAACCTGAGCCCCAATACCGCCGACGGGCCTCGGAGGTCCGCTTGCTGTAACCCCGTGGGATTTCGCTATTTTTCTTGGCCCCAGAAATAGAGTTTTGTTATTCTTTACCCGCGGACCATTTTTTTTTTCAGTCATGTCGGAATGTGGCCCCCCGGCAGTGGTGAGCGCCAGGCGTCGACGGTTCCATGCAACCCACCTTGACACGGAAGAACACATAAACAGGGTATTCGACATCCTTTGCGCATGGACTAGTCGTTTGAAGACAGTAGCCTATGAAGAATAGTAGACTGTAGCCATCGTCGTTGCGCCACATCCGTTGATCGTTAATACTAGTGACGTCCCAGTCATATACTAGCGCTCCATCTCTCTGCCCCGTGCTTCGCAGCCTGTCTTGTAAACTGCAGATATATCCCCGTGACAGTTTCTGGAAGAAAAGATCATGACACCAGTAACGACAAAGACGATTCGGCCAGAAGTGCCTCCCGAGACGGAGAAGCTCTCGCTGCTCCACGGCCCAATCGACCCTCCTCTGGTCGACCTGACGCTCGGGGAGCTTCTGGAGCTGCAGACGTACCAGCACGGCACGCACGAGTGCCTCGTCATCCCGTGGACGGGCGCGCGCTGGACGTACAATGACCTGAACCAGCAGTCGTCGTGGCTGGCGCACGCGCTCCTCGACCTGGGCATCGGCGTCGGCGACCGCGTCGGCATCATGGCGGGCAACTGCGAGCAATACGCCGCCGTCTTCTTCGCCGCGGCCAAGATTGGCGCCATTCTTGTTATTCTGAACAACACCTACACACCGACCGAGGCCATGTACGGCATCCAGTTCTCCGAGTGCAAAGTCGTCTTCACCACGCGCAAGATTGGCCGCATGGACAATACGCGCCTGCTGGGCGACCTGGACAACCTGGACCGAGGCCCCAAGGTGGTCATGCTGCGGGGCGAGTCCGCCAACTATGCTACCTATGACGATTTGATCGAGTCTGCCATGGGAAAGAGCCACGAGAAGCTCTACGAGGCGATGCGGCGCGTGAGCCCGCATCAAGTTGTGAATCTGCAATTCACAAGTGGCACCACGGGTCTTCCCAAGGCTGCCATGTTGACACACCAGTATGTTTGCTTTTCATTTCATGACTGGGCAGGAAACTTGCCACAAAAAAAAAAAAAAACTAACGGTTCTTGCTTAGCAATCTCGTCAACAACTCTCGTTTCATTGGTGACCGTATGCGTCTCACATCAGCCGATGTTCTCTGCTGCCCGCCGCCTCTTTTCCATTGCTTTGGCCTTGTCCTCGGGCTCCTCGCCATTGTCACGCACGGCGGCAAGATTGTGTACCCTGCCGAGGTGTTTGACATTGCCGCCACTCTGCGCGCCATCTCGGACGAGAACTGCACGGCCGTCCACGGCGTGCCCGCCATGTTTGACTCGCTCTTCCAGGCCGAGTTCCCGGCCAACTTCCGCTGCGACCGGCTCCGCACGGGCATCATTGCGGGCGCGCCGGTGCCGCGGTATCTGATGGAGCTGCTGGTGGAAAAGTTTGGCATGACCGAGTTTACGTCGAGCTACGGGCTCACGGAAGCGAGCCCGACGTGCTTCAACGCCTTTACCGACGACAGCATCGACACGCGGCTGACGACGGTGGGCACGCTCATGCCGCACGCGCACGCCAAGATTGTGGACCGCGACGGCAACATTGTGCCCGTGGGCGTGCGCGGCGAGCTCTGCATCGGCGGCTACCAGCTGCAGGCCGGCTACTGGAACAACTCGGCCAAGACGGCCGAGGTCATGGTGCGCGACGCGACGGGCGTGCTGTGGCTGCACACGGGCGACGAGGCCGTCTTTGACGAGCACGGCTACTGCTCCATCACGGGGCGCTTCAAGGACATTATCATCCGCGGCGGCGAGAATATATACCCGCTCGAGATTGAGGAGCGTCTCCTGGCGCACCCGGCCATCTCCCGCGCCATCGTCGTCGGCCTCAAGAGCAATCACTATGGCGAAGTCGTCGGCGCGTTTCTTGAGCGCGCCCCGACGGCGGCAAAGAAGCCCTCGGACCAGGAGCTGCGCGACTGGGTGCGAAAGCGCCTCGGCGGGCACAAGTCGCCCGCGCACCTGTTTTGGCTCGGCGAGGGCGGCGTCCCGGCCGACGTGCCGCTGACGGGCAGCGGCAAGGTGAAGAAGTTTGAAATGGCAAAGCTTGGAGATGAGCTGCTTCGTAAAGAGACGCCTGTTGCCAAGTTGTAGAGTGGAAGTCGGTGCTGCCAAGAAGATACAAGTGCGGCTGATTTGACTAGCGAGATCCAGCCGTCTGGTAAAAAGTTTAGACATTTAGACGTGTGATTTAAAGTTTAGAAATATATGATTGGTACCTTTTTTTTATTCTTTTTTTATTTTTATTTTTTTGGCGCAGTCTATTTGCCATGTTTACTGTTTGCTTCTGACTGCTCAACGCAATAAACTTCATATCTAGGATCCAACCTCCATTTTTCACAACACACGTTACAGCCCAATGCCAACCAAACATTTACAATTTAGGTACAAGACCAATATTCACACCGCCAACGGCCTTTTCCTGGGCGCCCAGCGGACACAGCTGGAAGAAGCGGACGCGAGGGCAGCGCACCAGGGCGCTGCGCTTGTGCGGCAAGTCGACAAACTTTTCGAGGCCAAAGCCGTGAATCAAGTCGTACATGACGGGGATGGCATTGGTGTCCTTGGGCTCGCCAACCACCCACATGGTTCGCGGGTCGTCGAGGAAGAGATAGTGCATCAGACTGCTCCACCAGGCCGTGACGCGGTGAGGGCCGCGAAACTTGACGTCGCCGACGAGGGAGTGGCGGCCGCGGTCATAGTCTTGGGCGTCATAGTAGCCACCGAGTCGGTCCTCCTGCCCATTCATGTTAGTTCCAACCTGAGCCGCAAATGCTAGTATCAATATATAGAAGAAAGAAAGCAAGTTGACAAACCTTGGCCCAGTAAATCTCGAAATACGCAAAGTAGGCATCATCCCACTTGGCGAGAAGGGCAACCTGGTGAGGGTCTTCGTGAATCTTGCGGAGATACTCGCGGTGCTGCTCCAGCGTGCCCGTCTCGTTCCAGCCCTGCGACACGCGGGGATCGTTTTGCCACTCGTGGAAGAGTCGGAGATGCTCGGCATCGGTGTAGTCGACCGAGACCATGGAAAACGTCTCCTTCAGATGCGGCACCCACCGGCTATAGATGACGGCACCGGGCGCCGGCTTAGCGGGCCGAATCGGGTGCAACGACTGCTGGTAGCGGTCCGGGTCCTGGGGATCACCGGCCGAGGCGACGGTGATTGTGTGCTGCAGCGGCGTGGTAGGGAACTGCGACAGCGGCGTCGACGCGGGCAGCGAAGACGGCGACGCATCCGGGCACCACACGGGACGCGGGCCAAATGGCGACCCGGCACCCTGCCAAAAGGTGCTGCGCAGGACGACGACAGTGCTGCTCGTCTCCGTGGTGGCCTGCTCCGGCGCAGCCGCCTGGCTCTTGGGCGGCGGCGGCGGGTGCGCGATGCCGAGCAGCACCTCGCGCAGCTGCTGCGACAGCACATCGGCGCCGGGGCCGCTCAGCTGCAGACGGACCAGCTCCATGCCGGGCCGCACGGTAAAGAGCACGTACAGCAGCAGCCACGCCTGCGCGAGCGTTGGCGCCGCTGCGTCGCTCTCCCAGCGGACGTCGGAAAAGGGCGAGCGGCGGGAGCGCGCCCAGAGGCTGTTGTTGGCCGACGCGGGAAGCTCGCTCGACTTGAGGTCTGCGGGCGCGGAGAAGCGCACATGCGGCGCGTGAAGCGCAAAGGGAAGCGGCTGCACCGTGGAGCCCTCTTTTGGGTGCAGCTGGAAGAGCTTGTCGTCGCTGCGCTGGACGGTGTACTCGGTCAAGTACGGGTGCGGCAGCTTGAGGACGGTGTCGGTGGGCGCGAGGCTCGCGAGGTCGATGATGCCCGCCATTGTGTGAGTGTTTTTTTTTTTCCTTCTGCCGTCGACTTTGTAGCTATATGTCAGAGTCGTTGTTGCCGGGTTTGAAAACTAAGATCTGGGTTTGAATTTTGATTTGGCAAGGAAGAAACACAAGGAATGGTGATGTAAGTTGGAGATAGCAGGAAAGCGTTTAATTCAGCCGGCTACTTGAAGTGAGACCCCCCCCAAAGACACACAGACAGGCTTTACAGTATAGTACATGGTTACCGTCGGCCGCCAAAAAAAGACAGAAAAACATAATTAGGCCTGCTGAACCTGGGCAAGGTTTGTCCTCCCGTGTCCGATGCAAGGATCAACAAAGAGGCAAGTCCATGCCCCCCCGGAGGTGAGTGCAAGCTGCGCTAACAGCTAGCGGTTGGAGAGAGACCACTCAGCTGGAGAAGGCGGAGGATTGCGTTTTGCAGTACTCCGTAGTTAGTAGTTAGTAGTTGGTAGGTTAGTGTAAATGGATGGGCGTGTTGGAGTCAAAATCACACGCCCCCATGGGTCCCATAGGTCCCGTAGGTAGCCCCTCCATCGGACATGCTGGGATTGCGGCATAATAAACAACCAAATAAGCAAGTCTGTCACAAAGGAACGGAAACCCCCTTGCAAGTACCTGTACTTGGGAGACTTTGTAGGTCGGTCGACCTCCGAGCAAAGGAGCGAGGCGTCTGGTATTACTACAGTCTACAGTACATCTACACTGTGAATGCTGGGCTTTTACCCCAGACTTGACAGAATCTTACACAAAGGAAATGAAGATTTTAGTGTTAAACGCCAAGTTTTTGGGTTTATCAACTTGCAAGATACTGATAGAGTGCCGCCAGCCGCATTTTGTGTCGAGATTGGCCCTAGATTTCATTAGTCGCTGATGAATGCCGATGCTCGGCCGAGGCCTCGCCTGCGGATCTGATAAAAAAAATTTCTCGGGACACACCGGCACCACCATTGTTTTCGGCGGTCCGTCCATCGCACCCACAGCGCCGCCCGCTCTGCTCCGTGACGGCAAGATGCAATTCGTTGCTCGAATACGCCAGTTATTATGGGCAAGTTTTGGAATTCACAGTCGCTCCACTTCGTTGTCTGATGCAAAATGAAAATAAGAAAAATAAAATAAAATAAAAATAACAAATTGATAAAATACAATGAGAATAACTTTGCTCCCGCTTGCCATCTCCTCGGCATGTGGGTGGGCTCGTTCCAGTAACGCCAGGGCTTCCGCAAAGTGGCATCTACCCTGACCTCATTTTTCTTGCCTGCAGTCTTGGCTCTATTCCACTTTTCATCTAGCGACGGCAGCTGTGCTCTATATCAAGGGGTCCAGAATTTGATTCTTTGCTCTTGGAGTTGCCATGGTTTCCGGCAACGAATATGATGCAAGCCCTGGAGAATACGGTGAGGCATTGCGCGCCGAAAGCACAACATTTGCAAATCTTGCCCGATTCGAACCCCTCTCGTGCTGTCTAGCATTTATCCAGGTTTGTGGCTTGCCTAGGGTTGTGGCCTGTCTAAATGTTAGGCTATAGCGCGCCATGATCTCAAAGTACATCTCAAGGACTCTTGATGCATAAGTAGGCGTAGGCAGCTTGTCAGAAATCCGAGCACTATCCATTTACTTGTACGAGTGCAATATCTACTATTTGCCAGTGTCAACGAACACTAAATGTTACTTTTGTCTTCAAGGCTGTGTTATCGTTGTTGCAGCGCGAAACTATTCCATTCGAGCATGATTCGACATTTTCCACATGACGACACTCTTCTGCCAGACTTGAAAGAGGACAAGACCCCTCACAATCCGGGTCTTCTACTTTTCGCACTATTTTCCCAGTGTTTAGTCTCTTCTAGCGACTTTGACAGGGGATTGTAGCCGTGGTCTGTCGATCATGCCGTCTGACACCCCGCCGTTCTGGGTCTACTGCGATACAACGCTGTTGGTGTACAAACAAGCAGGAGAGGAGGAAGAAGAACAAGATGAACTGGCCAGAAGATTCACATGCAAACCATGATGCCAAGTCTCCATCAGCAAAGTCCAGATTTAAGAACAAGAGCACCTCTTTGCCGTCTACACCCTCGTCTGGATGATTCATGTCGTCGACTTGATGTAGACGGCCCTCTCTGCACAATTCCTTGTACTTTTACCGCTCAATGCCATTTCAACATTGTAAATTGTGAGTCGCCATGACACTTTTTTGTTCTAGGACCGCATGGAAAATTGAAAACCCGCCAACTCCGAGACCGATAAAACATCAATGCCGGAATCATAGTACCACCAATCATCTCAAGACTAGAGGCGACTCATTAAGCCTCCACCACGGTCTCTTTTTTTCCGCCCAGCTGCATGGACTCCCAGCAAACTAAAAAAAAAATCATGTCAGTCAATGTCCTGAATTCAGAGTGGAGGATGTACAAATCAACTTACTGTCAAAGCCCAAGTCGTCGCGGAAATAGGCCTTCATGACATCTGGGCCCGAGACGGTGCCGCTTTCCGGGCCGGAGGCGACTGCCGTGTTGCCGACGGCAAGGCCGATGCACACGGGAAATTCTGTGAATTCACTGTACTTGGGCTGGTGGCCGCCGGGAACGCGGTCGCGCAGAATGGTCTGGTGAATGTTGTAGGCGGCGTAGTGGCCGCCGTGCATGGCGCCGCCACAGCGCTTGATGCCGCTCCACTTGGCGACATCACCAGCGCAGAAATGGTAGTCGGCGTTGGGGGTACCCTCGGCGAGAGTGAGGCTGCAATTGTTTTAGAAATGGAAGGATATAAAAGGGGGGCGGAAAGAGGTGAGATTGGCAACGTACTTGGGGTTTATCTTGACAAGTTGATTCTCATCTAGAGCTGTAGTGGGCATATAAGTGGCGGTCGACGTGGGCTGCGAAACAGCCATGATAATCTCGCTAGCGGTCATCTTGTGGCCGTTGGTAAACTCGACATCGTACTTGGTGCTGCCATCCGTCGTCTCGACGCGGGTCGACTTGCTGAGACGGTGGTTCAGGAGGACGTTTACGCCAGCCTCGCGCAGCAGCGCCAGCGTCGTGTCCTTGCACTCGTCGGAGAGGCCCTCGGACGAGAGCAGCTTGTCGCGCGAGTGCACGAGCGTCACGTCAATGGCCGGGTGGACGACCTTGAGCTCGCCGGCCATCTCGATGCCGACGGCGCCGCCGCCGACGACGACGACGCCGTGCTGGGCGTTGCTGACGGCGTGGACGTGCTCGCCGGCCTCGACCAGGTACTGCTTGCGCGAGAGCGACTGCGGCACGGTGGGCCAGACGCGGCGGAGGCCGGTCGCGGCGACGAAGAAGTCGTAGGCATGCTCGGTGGCGACCTTTGTCACGGCGTCGAGGGTGGTGACCGTCTTGGACACGCAGTCGACGGCGGTGACGGAGCCAATGACGACCTTGAGGTTGGGCACCTGCATGCTGGGAATGTCTGCGTACTTGATCCAGGCCTTTTTGGCGTATTCGTTGTCGGCGAGGGCCAGCGGGGAGCCAATGAGGTGGTCTAGTGGGTGTTAGACGCGCCGTCGCGCTTTTGGACTTGTAGATTGGTTTTGCGGGTGGGACTTACACCATCCGTCTCGCTCATCAGCGAGGGTTATTTCAATGTCCAGCTTTTCAAAGCCGGGGACGTGAGGGTAAGGCTCGGTAGCCTGACGAGGGCTGGCACCGGAGCTCAGATCGAGCAGGTTCATGGCAGCCGAGAGGCCGGCATAGCTGCCGCCGGCGATGAAGATGCGCACCGGCGCAGGTGTTGACGAAACGGAACTCATTCTGTGTTGTAAATCTGTCGACGGTTGGGCGGCGGCGGCGGCGGCGGCGGCGGCTGTACGAGGAGGAGGAGAAGTGGTGAAGAAACGGAATTGTTGGGGCGGCGGACGCGGGCAAGGACGACGGCGCAGAGGGTAGTTGAGCGGCAGTCCGCGGTGTGGAGCGGGGAGCGTCTGACGTTTGGTGGAGAAGATGGAGGAGGATGAGGAGAAGAGGCTGGTGTAACGAGACGAGGACAGCGAGGCAAGAGTCGTGGTGGCTTTGGAAGAGGCAGCGGCGTGACGTGCAGCGAGGGGGGAGAGGTGGCGGATGGTGTTTATGCTAAAAAAGGTGCGTGTCACACAGGGAGCAGCCATGGGGGAGGGAAAGGAAAAGCAAAAGCGAAAGGGGAACTTTTGGGGGAGCTGTTTATGCGCGTATTGAACGAGAGCAAATGTATATGAGCGCCACGGAGGGGAAGGACATGTGGGCAATATACGGCAATCTGTGCTACTAACTGTTGCCTACAGAGTCTATGGTGCAAAGGCATCATTTGGGGGGGGGAAGCTGCAAGCACGGGCAACACAGCCTCGAAAGCTGATATTATTGTATTCTGACGGAAGTTTCGGAGTGAAACTCGGAAACGCGAAACAGAATGAATAACATTGTGGGAGCTCACGAAACGGGAGGCCGTCGTGTTTGTGGAAGCGCAGCTCAAAAAAAAAAAAAAAAAAAAAAAGGTAAAATACGGGGAGCTGCCCGTTATCTGATCCGTGTCGGCCGGCCGGAACCAAGGCCTCGGATCAGCCGCTGTCTTGTGGCCGAGAGCGTCGGGTACGGCATTGGGAAGGGACATGAAGGAGGGGGCGCCATGTACAGTCCCCGCGTGCTCTGAATTGTGTGTGTGAGTGTGTGAGACAGAGAGAGGTCAGAAAAAAAATGCTGTCCATTCATCTGTTGTTTTCTGTGGTGCGACCCGGATATGTACGACTTGACCCGCAGTGAATAATGTTTGATCAGATAATTCGGTACATGTATACTTTGGAATTGGGTGGGCGGCCAAAAAAAGTTTGATCAGATAAGAAAATGCTCGGATAAAAGGCGGAGGGAGTTACTGAGTGCTGCGGCAGGCGCAAAAAAAAAAAAAAAAAAAAAAGTTGCTGAGATAAGCAGGAAAACCTGGATCAGATAAAACTCGGTATCCGAGAATATTTTGATCAGATAACAAGCCCCGGCACGCATGGGCGCTTGAGGAGGACAGAAACAACAGACCGCCCAGACAAGTCTTTGCCAAGCTCGTCCAAAATAAAATTTAAGAAACACGGAGAGGGGCTGGTCCATGGACACGGTTCTTAATAGATTAGTAGTCGCTATATTATCAAAGGCCATATTTATAATGTCGCAGATGAAAAAAAGCGAATCTCATAGACCCGAGAAATGAGCCATTTTGCAACACGTCGTTGCCCAGGCCGGTGAGGTACCACGTGCCAAGACTTGGTGTGAGGAAAAAATTATCTGATGCCCCACCAGCTCAAGCCTCACCACTTCAAGCTTCCAGCATAACATGACTTTTTGTATTTGTGTTTTTGCATTTGGGGGTTTCGGACGTATTTATAAGAATAATGATACTGTTTGTCTTTGGCTCTAATAACGACCATATAACTTGGTTAATGCATCAGTCCAGCTTTGAACTGCAGCAGTTCATCCATTCTTCGTCTCCCATGACACCTTCACCCCTCTCCACTCCCCCCTTGCTTATACGCCCACTCTCTCTCTTTCTCTCTGTACTCTGCCAATCGTTTCTGCTTTCTGCTTTCTGCTTGACCGTTCGCTTTTCTGCCCCGCTCACATGCACCACGTATGTACGTACATAACTTTGCCCATTCTCGACCTCCTTGCCTTCTTTCTCGCCTCCATCGTCCCCGTTTAGCACTGCGGAGACTTGACCAAGGGGTGCGCATATCGCGCTCGAAAAAAATAATAATAAAGAAGTAAAAAGAGAGACTAGCTAGATACTTGTAGAGGCCCCCAAAATACCTTTGCCCGAGGATCCAGTTACTTTACAACTGCCAGCCCCGTTATTGCAGCCAGTGACCAGCATCTTTGATCCTGGCAACTGGCAAATTCGACAACCCTACCTACCGTCTTTTCCCATCTTTTTTTTTTTTTTGCCCAGACTCAGCTCCCGATTCTTACAAATCTTTGAAATCTTGTGCAGCACCCGCAAGTTCCGTTGTACCCTTCTATTGCCAGTGCGTGCTTTGCCTTGCTCACCCTTTTTTTGCCTGTCTGCCTGCGGTGGCAATCATAAATACAATATCCAGCCAAGGGTCATCTTAGTAGCTGTCGTCATTTCACTTCCTTTTCCCTTTCCCTCTCTCCTCCTTTGCCAGGCCGACCATTTTATGCAGGTTCGGAGCGAGCCGAGAGTACAGCTGTCATTTCCGTGTTTGATCTCCCCCTGTTTTTCTGCCATTATTGTTTGTAGCCAGCCTTTGCTCGCCCTTCGAGCCCACTCAGCGTTGATTTGTCCTTCTTTTTGCCTTTTTTGTTTTCCTTCTTTCGTGTCAAAGACATTGAATTGAGGGCACCTCGGATCATGACGGCGGATTCTTTTTGAATACCCAGAACCCATTCAAAACCGCTATTGAATAAGCCGCAGCTATGGCTGTTGACCCGACCAACACCACCTCTGCGCCAAGGCCGCCGTCGCCTGCGCAGGAACCGCCACCGTCTGCGTCCGAGTCTGCACCGTCTGCGTCCGAGTCTGCACCGTCCGCGCCAGAATCCTCATTGCCCGCGCCGGAACCTTTGCCGTCTGCACCGGAGACCTCCTCTTTGTCTGCGCCGGACCAGCAGCCCGCGTCCGATCAGCAGCCCGCAAGCCAAGGCCACGACGCCGCCGCGAACAACGCCCAGCCCGTGCCATCCCAAGACGGACAACCCTCGCCATCCCAAGATGGTCAACCCGCGCCAGCCCAAGATGGCCCATCCGTGCCAGTTGCTGATGCCGCAGGTGCTATACCGCTTCCACCGCTCCATGGATCTTCGGCAACTCCAGCTGAGCCTCCAAAAGCTGTCCCAGACCAAGAAGAGCCCGACGCGGCACCTGTCGAGCCGATAGCAACACGAAAAGAAGCTGTATGCATTCCTTCGTTCTC